AAAGAAGGAAGGAAGGAAGGAAGACACTATACACAAATGATATCACAGCATAGATCACAAGTCACTTACCTCGCCAGTACCATTCTCTTTCACACAGTCATATTTCCTACCACTATGACTATAACACAACTTATAACTCGTCACAAAGCTGTCAAAGACGGACGCCCCCTGCACGGCCACCCCGGAGATTGTCTTTTCAGTTTTAAGATCAATAGTCAAGTACGGTTCTTTATCGTCGTCATCAGAACACCACGCACTTCGCTTGACATCGTCAAAGAAGGATATTAGGTTGAGACGACCGTAGTAAGGTTTGTGTGGCTCTAACACTGATGAAGCTGTTACTTGATCGTCTTTGATTTTCAAGTCTTCCATTCCGATGGGCGAGAAGCATTCTAGAATATAAATTAAAGAGAAGATGGACTGGAAATTTTAAGATTAAACATTGGGTGCGGTACTTTACAATCTAAAAAATACATTATGGAATTTTCCAAGCCCACGCATGCGCAAGTCAAAAAAAGTATGTGAGTACGCTAGCGTTGATCACCTTCCCCTTTGATAAGAAAAACCACATTCATGATTTACAGCCCCCCTCTGTACCTTTAACCCCTCGGGGGAGGGGTGGGGGAGACTTACCTTTTTCGAAATCACATCTTTTCATAAGTTTCTTGATCTCGTCCTGCGACAAAGCTTCATTGGACATATAAAACTCGTCAACCAATCCATCCAATTGCCTCTCTCCCTTATGCTCACCAATCCCTGCTTTAACCTGCCAGTCCTGTGACAAAAGCCCCGCCCCCTCCTCCCTCATGACAAACTTTGCGTTGACAAACACTTGGGCATAACCGGAAGTCGAATCGTAAGTACACGCAATATGTGTCCATATATGGGGAGGAACAATGACTTCCGTTAAGACATTAAAGATAACTTTCCCCCGCTCATTCCTGTGAAACCATCGCACGGAACCATTAATGACCTCTATGTGATACTGTCCCATGGAATGCGTTGAATTCTTCCATCCAATCGTATCAAACACTGAGTTAGGCCCGTCGATGCTGTACAATTTGACCCACGTTGCTATAGTAACGGCTAAGTGTGGTTTGTTTACAAAGCGTTCTCCATTGAATAGGATGTCGCCTCCGTTCAAGTCTACTCCGCGGCCGCATTTTTCGCTGAATCGAGACAAGCGAGCAAAGTTGACAATACGAGCATCGTTGTGCAAATCTGATTGGTCGAGGATTGTGTTCTTGTCGGTTATCGTATCGAAGCGAAGATATAAAACAGYTTTGTCCAATACTATGATAGATAACAATAGATAACATTAATAATAATTAATAGCATTTTAAACGGGAGGTGTTCACCAAGGAGGTCGATAGCACCTTTTAAAGTTTATTCTTTTATCGTGTCCTTGACACAAGTGAATGGGTACACAGGGATAGAGGCCTTTGCACCATTATGTGATGTCAGCCATGTTAGGAGGCACAACAATAGTATTTACAACTTAATTGTTCGTGCCTCCTGTCATGACTGCCATTACGCGATGGTGCAAAGCCTCTGTAATGGTGGTAATGATGATGACGACGATGATATTGATGACATGGATGGTGGTGGTAATGACGATGACGACGATGATATTGATGACATGGATGGTGGTGGTGATGATGACGACGACGATGATATTGATGACAGGGATGATGGTAGTGGTGATGATGACGACGATGATATTGATGACAGAGATGATGGTGGTGATGATGATGACGACGATGATGATGATGGTGGGGATGATGGTGGTGATGATAATGACGACGATGATATTGATGACAGAGATGATGGTGGTGATGATGATGACGACGATGATGATGATGGTGGGGAT